TGTCACTTCCACCTGTCTCTCCTGGAATTGGTTCTACAGTCGCCTGTGTGTGCCCACAGCTGAAAGACACTTTTGTCTGAGTACACCCACAGCTGAAGACCATTGTCTTTCAAGTATGCTGAAGACTTTTCCTTCACCGAGGCTCAGCTAATCCCCAGAGCTCTGAAAACCATATCCCTGGTTATTGTCTCGTTCTGATGAGAACCATCAAGATTAACCAAGATAAATCACACAGCACTGCCTTACCGACTTGTCAGGAGCAGGCACGAGTATGAAGGAGAGTACACAGATAGTAAAGCAAACCTCATCAGGGCTGGTCCCCGGCAGTTCTGTTGTGTTCTTTGGATCTCAGTTCTGTAGCTTAAAATGAGTCAGAATTAATAATATAGACTAGACATGACCTGAAATTCAAAGTAGTCCTCCTGCCTCAGCCTCCTAACAGCTGAGATTATAGCCATGAACCACTGTGGCTGACTTCCTATTTTTAAAACTATTTTGATTATGGGGCTAGAGATACGGCTCAACTTTTCAGAGCAACCGCTACTCTTGAAGATCCAGGCTCAGTGCCCAGCACTCACAACGATCCATAAGGCTGGTTTCAGAGGGTCCAACATCATCTTCGAATCTCCCAGGGAAGTGCATGCACATGGTGCTTATACATACATGCAGGGAGGGCACTTGTATACTCATATAAATCTTAAGATACACTTTTGAGGGGCTGGAGAGATGGCTCAGTAGTTAAGAGCACTGACTGTTCTTCCAGAGGTACTGAGTTCAATTCCCAGCAACCACATGGTGGCTCACAACCATCTGCAATGGGATCTGATGCCCTCTTCTGTTGTGTCTTGAAGACGGCAACAGTGTACTCATATACATAAAATAAATAAAATCACACACACACACACACTTTGAAATACTAGTTCCTTAAAAAGCAGATCCACCAAAAGGTTCTCTTATTTAGTTATTTGTGTGTGTGTTTTACACTTATTTTATTGGGGGGCATGCAGGCATGCCACAATTCACTTGTGGAAAATAGAGGATAACTTTTAGGAGTCAGTTCTCTCCTCTACCATGGGATTCAGAGATCAAACTCAGGTCATGAGTCTTGATGGCAAGTGTCTGTACTCCCCCCACCCCACCCCACCCCACCCCACACACACCAGCTCACTAGCTCAACGGGTTCCTTTAAATAAATATTTTCATAGTACATTTTAATAAGATTCCTTCCAGTGTGTGCTGGCTACATTTTCAGAGCCAGCACTTCACTGGATCACGAGCCTCCCAACATCAGCATGCTCCTCTCTGGCGCCTGTGATGGCTCTTGCCTGGCTATCTCCTTTGGACACTACCTCCTTCTCTGTTCCCCTCCTCCATCTTAAATGCAGGCATTCATCCAGTACTCCTACTGCTGCTTCCTTCACCACCGCCACCCCAGTTTTTCAAGATGGGCTATCTCTGTGTAGCCCTGGCTGTCCTGGAACTCACTTCTATAGACCAGGTTAGCCTGGATCTCAGAGATCTGCCTGCTTCTGCCTCCTGAGTACTGGGATTAAAGGCGTGCACCACCAAAGCCCAGCAAGTGCTTCTTTTCTTTAACTTTTTTTTTCCTCCTTGGAGACAGGGCAAGCATGTCACAGCACATATGTAGAGGTCAGAGGTCACCATGTGGGTGCTGGTTCTGTCCTTCTGTCACACAGATCCAGGTTATTGAGTTCAGATCCCTCAGCTTCACAGCAGGTGCTTTTACCACTGAGCCACCCTACCCCTTCTTGGGGCTTCCTCTTACACTTTACCTCTTTATCTTTCCTCGGGAGTAATTGTCCCTAACTTTCTTTGTCACCTATGCCAATAGCAACAACAGCTAACAAATACAAGTTACCAGTTACCATGTTAAACCCTATAATTTAATCTTATGGAAGAGAGAAACATTGTCTCTACTATTATCCATTGGAAAACAGAAGTTTGAGGGCCTTAAGCACCCTGGACAAAGTCACCACGCCAGAGAGGGTGTGTTCACCACCAGAAAAGGTGTGTTCACCTCAGAGGCCACACTGACAGCTGATGACACTCTTGTATTTCATGCTGTTCCCTTCAGTCTCCCCAGGACACCCTCTCCAAAGAAACAGAGCCATCTCCACCAGCCAGTAGCTGTTGCCCAGCTGACATTAAAGTACTCGCCGATATGTTTGCAATGGTGAAGATATCAGAATGCTTCCAAACCCTGCAGGCTGGCACCCTTTGCATTCCCCTGGAAAAGGCTCCTCTGGCAGGAAGTCCTCATACCCATCAGCCTAGCCTGGAGCCTGGGGTGGGGCCTGAGGCAGAGGGGAGCTTTGTACTTAACAGCTCTCTGCAGGTACAACACCTGACTAAATATTGTCAACTGTCACTTTTCCGTCCTCCTTCTGCCTCCACTTGGCAGTTCCTCCTGCTAACTTCCTATTTCAGGACACGCCCCCTGATTCTCCAGTTCCCCTTCCAAAGCCAGCTCGAGGTCCCTCTCCTTCCTTCTGCTGGTGACCCTCAGTTGACTTCCCTGGCCTGTGATCTATCTCTTATCTCTGTGGTTTCTGTATCTGCCTCCTTTCCCACTCCATGGTCTCCACCCTAGAACAGGCTCCCCTGGTCCAGCTTCCTTGGCACCTGCTAACTATTCCCCATCCCCCAACCCCCCCCCCACCCCTCGATAGTCTTTGTTCTAGTTTTCAAGACAAAGTCCAGCTATATAGCCCAACTTGTCTTGAATTCGTAATCCCTCTGCCTCAGACATGTGCTGTGGCAGCCAGCCCTCTTCTATGTTCTTGAAGTCGAGCACCTAAGGTCAAAACTTCCCCTCTCAATTCCCCTTCCTCAGGAGATGTTCATGTTCCAGCGAAGCCTGCAAAGGTTTAGTTAACCCCAGCTAAAGCCAGACTTACTAGAGCACTTCACATACAGAAAGTATTTCATACAAGTTTATTCAACCCAGGAAACCAGTGCTTATGCTTTCAAAGTCATTTTGCTTCATTCAGTCACAATGTTTTCATCCCTCATTGTCACTGTAACAAGCTTCAACTCAGTCAAAAGACTTTCCCCTACCTCCTAAAAGCATGGCTACTTAAATATGAGTGGCCTTTCTTTTCCAACAGCTTCCTCTGCCCCTTTCTCCCAGATCCTGTGTCTTATCTCCTGCCCCCACCCCCACATCTTATCTACCTGGACCTAGGGATCCCCAATCCAAGTACTATAGCTGGTGCTATGGACCCAGCTGGTGGGAAAATCATGTCTGCCCTCCAAGAGCTCCTGACCCAAGCTGAAGCAGAAAGGAGACTCCAGCAAACAGTCACAGGATGGCTCAACACATCCCACACCCACTGCAGGCACTGGGAAAGAGCAATACAGCCGTGTTCACTCGGGGTGTGCTCACTCCATGCCACCCTACCGGAGATACTTGGGTGAGCTTTTAGTTCATGCAGAGCTCTGGGCCACTATTTGTCAGCTCCAAGGCCTTGAAAATGTTGCTTAACTCCCTGCCGGTTTCCTCATCAGTAAAATACCATTGTGAGTCAGCTCCCTCGGAGGGCAACTGGGAGGTATGCTGGAGTAATGCAGGGGAAAGCATTTAAAAAGAACGTAACAATCTGCACAATAGACAATGCAGTCCTTCTCCTTATTTGAATGGAACACCTGCTGGCACTGTGGAGCTGGACAGGGCACTTGTACAGTTTCTGGGATCTCAGGCAACTTTTGAGAGTAGACCGGAAACTCACCAGCAGAAGCAGCCGTGCTGACCCTCACCATAGGTCTCAACTCAGCCTCCATTCTGCCCCCCCTCATGACCACTCACTCCTGCCAGAGCGTAGGTGGGACATCTGGGGCTGCCAATGGCTTAAGATGATGGTTCAGCCTCCCCAGCGCTGGGATTTCAGGTGTGAGTCACCAACACTTCCAGCTCTGGGTCATTATTATTATTATTATTTTAGGAAAGTTGGAGGGAAAGGAAAGAAAGCCTGGCTCGTATTGCTGGGTACTGGGATCAGTGGAGACGGGTGCTGGATTTTTAACTCAGACTAAGATATCCAGAGCCGAAGGGCAACACCAGTCTTTTCCTTGACACTTAATTGAGCTTGCTTCAGAACCAGATACACCTCGGATGGTGCAAACACACTAGCCTCTTAAGCCTCTGTACCTCTGTCATTAGCCCCCAAAATAACCACTCTACTATGAACTACCTAAAGGTCTGTCCTTTTCTCCACAGTGTAAAAAGTGTGAAGATTTCCCAGGTCTCCTAAGAGGACCAAGTGTAAGGTTACTAACCCTTGCTGTAATGCTACACCAGCCCTTTGCCTTATGGTCAGTGACCCAGAAGGATCTCAAAACCACAAGAGAATGGGAGGTGATAGGCTCTAACTGCCGCTGGGGTCACAGTAGGAGAGTAGTGTGGTAGGCTGCTCCGAAGCTAAACGGGGGACAAGCAGGGTCCTGGAAAAAGTCAGCTCTCTGGTGGACAGCTTCTTGCCTTGACTTAAAGGAAGGTTTCCCTCCGAGTTCAGGAGGAAACGGACTCTTGGAGGGTGGGTAGCAGCAGGGTAATGGGAATATGAAAAGGGTGTCTAAGTGAAAGGTAAGAGAAGACCTGTCACCTAGGACCTGCACCACTACGGCAGCAACAGCTCCCGGGTCTCACATGCGCGTGCTGGTCTTGCTCTGTGCCAGAAAGGAGATCAGAAAGCGGTGCTGCCAAGGAAGGGCAAAGCTCGGGCCGAGAACCCCACAGTGACTGCACACACGCCCCATTCCGTTTCGCCCAGGGCTTGGGGCACCCGCGGGCTGGGACCCTCCTCCTTTTGGGCTTCAGTTTTCAGGCGTGAGAACCAGGGGTGACGTCAGGGCCCAGGTGTTCCCGGGAGTGCGCGCTCCCGGCCCAGCGCGGTCCCCGGAGCAGACTCTCGGGTTAGAGGCGCAGCCCCAGGGCTCGCTCCCGCGTGCGCTCCCGGCCGCCCTGCGCCGTGCTGACTTACCCAGAAGTTCCCCTTGAACAGCGAGCCCGTCATGCCGACGCTGGATTGGGAGCGGAGGGCTGGGAGCGGAGGACGGAGGGCGGCTGAGGACGGCGGACAGAGGGAGGACAGCGGGAGGACGGCCGGATCGCGCTGGAAGCTCCGACTGTCAGGGCCAAGGTCCGGCGCAACTTCGGAGTTCCACTGTCGCTCCGGGAAGCCGCCCCGGGTCCTAAACCACGCCCGATTGCGCCCGCCCCGCGCCCCGCCCGCGCCGCGCACCTGCAGAGGGCCACCCGCCCTGGCCCTAGGGCGGGGCCGGTCCGGCAGTCCTGCGGGAGTTGGGGGGGGGGGCAGCCAGTCCGAACCCCTGCCTGCGGGACTTTTGAACTACTGACAGAACCGGTCCTTCTCCCTCCCGTAGCCCACTCTTGGGGTCTTCCCACCAGACCCTCTCAAAACCTTGGGAGACGCTTAAATCATAGGAACCAGAGCCTTCGCCTAAGGTGCTGATGCTACAAGGAATGGAACGCACGCATCGCCCCGGAGGGGACTGCAGGTTTTAATCTAAAATGCCAATTAAAATGCATTCCTGTTAACTCTGCATATCTGAACCTGAACTCAGTTCTCTTCACCATCATTCCTACCCAACAGTAAAAGCCAGGCTGCTTTCTGCTCCCTCTAGGCTCTAACTCTCCTAAGATAGAACCAACAGAAGAAAACGGAGGCTCACATCTGTAATGCCAGACCTGAGTAAGCTGAGACTGAGGAACTTGGAGTTCAAACTCAGCCTAGGCTACTGCGGGAGGTCTTTCCTCATAAGCAGACAAACCAAAGAGGACCTCAGCGCACATCAGACTCTTCCTTGCTTGGTAATACAAAGTATTTCTCTATTCTGTGGGCCCAGCGCCCAGTGCCCAGCACCCAGCCTGAAACTCAGAGAGCTGAAAGATTGCCCAGATCAACACTTATTTAGGAGATGAAGAGACCAAAGCTAGAAGTCTGTCCTTCCTAATGGCCAATGTCCTTCTGGGTAAGAAATGCTCATGGGAAAGAGAATGAAGGTTAAGTTGTCAAGACTGACATCGAGCCCGTCGTACCAAAGCAAGCATTCGCCTCTGCAGCAGGTTCTAGTTAGATCCGGGCACAGAACATGACAATCGTGGGATGGTTAGAAGAAACTCACAAAGGTTCTGCTCCGTAACTCTACCTCCAAGTTCTACCAGTAAGGTCATCTGTAACGACAGGGCTGAGAGAGCCTCCGGCCCTGTTACTCTCCAAGGTCATGCATTCATCTACCGGGTTCTTCACTGAGCTTAGGGGCACTGGCTGATATTCCAGAGGACTTGGGTTCAATTCCCAGCAGCCACATGGCGGCTAACAGCAATCCCTAACTCCAGATCCAAGGACTCTGACACGCACTTAGTATGCTTTGCTAACAAGGGCATGCAGGTGGTGCACAGACATACATGCCTGCAAAACACCCATACACACAAAATAATAATAAAAAGAAATCAAATAATCAAAAAAATCATGAGATTAGACTCAAAGCAGGGAAGCCTGGCTACACCTGCAAGGAGCAGCAGAAGCCAAGGTATGTACCAGGATGGGAAAGAGCGGCTGCTTTCCAGGTGTGGGCGGACTACAGATGACTCTGAGAACTACAGGAAGCCAGAGCGTTGAGCACATAAGTTTTAATTCATATTCTCTCTCTCTCTCTCTCTCTCTCTCTCTCTCTCTCTCTCTCTCTCTCTCTTTGCCCCTCCCCTCCCCTCCCCTCTCCTCTCCTCTCCTCTCTTTAGTACTGGACATTTAACCAGGTCCCCTGTCCTAGTGTTGTTTGCTGAAGATTTTTGTTGCTTGCTTGCTTGCTTGTATTTGAGACAGGATCTTACTAAGTTACCCATGACAGCCTTGAACTCACTCTGTAGCCAAGGCAAGGTCTTGAATTAACCACTCTCCTGCCTCCATATGCAAACTTGCTGGAATTATAGGCACATGCCACCATAGTCATCAGGAAGTCTGTGACAAATATCTTACATACAATTCTCATTATCTATATTTTAATTTTTTTCTAGTTTTGTTTTTTTTTTCAAGACAGAATCTTACTATGTAACTCTGGCTGTCCTGGAAATCACTATGTATACCAAGCTGACCTCAAACTCACAGAGATCTGTCTGCCTCTGCCTCTCAAGTTCTGGGATAAGAGTGTACCACTATGGCTGGCTTATATTTAATTGTATTTTAATTAATTATATTTATTTGTATATTATAATTGTAATGTGTATATTACTTTTAAATCAGTCCCAACAAGGCCCTCATGCTACAGTGCACTAGGTTTTCTGATGCATGCCTCTAAGGTCTCTGAATTTTAGCTCTCTTCCACCCCCTGGTGGTACAATTGAAAAATTGAACGTGGCTGTTCAGGTGCCCCAGAAAATGTTCTCCAATGTGTTTTTTGTTACTGTTGTTTATTACATCTGGTTGTCTATTTACTTATTTCTCTACCATGTGTGTGTTTGGTAACGGTGAAGACTTTGTGTATGACACTTCATGTGTGATGGCCAAAGGACAACTGGTGATCCAGCTCATGTCTTCATATTTGGTAAAAAAGCACTTTACCCAGCCAGGCAGCCTGTGGGGTTTGTGGATCTTAAAAAATACTGAATTTATGTATACAGATACTCATGGAGGCCAACAAGGGTATAGGATCCCCTGGAGCTGAAGTTACAGGTAGTTGTGAATCACAACACATAGATGCTGGATGAAAGTCCGTCCTCTGGAAGAGCAAGCAAGTACTCTTAAGTACTAAGCCCTCTCTCCAGCCCCCACTCAAATGTTTTAAGACGCATCACCCAGGCAAGTACTGTGTTAAAAAGACAAGTTAAATGTGCGCTGTATCTACGGGTCTATGAGAAACTTGGTAAATTTTTGCTAACAAACTTAAATACTGCCACAGAAATTATGCCATGACGAAACAGGAACTGGATTATTCATGATAGCTACTGTGAATATTACAGCACTCTCTCTTTCTTTCTTTCTTACTTTCTTTCGGTCTCTCTTTCTCCTTTTTTTTTGGTTTTTCGAGACAAGTCTCTCATGGCTAAGTTCAAACTGTATACAAGTTCTTTTTTTGTTTTGTTTTTGTTTGTTTGTTTGTTTTGGTTTTTTCGAGACAGGGTTTCTCTGTGTAGTCCTAGCTCTCCAGGAACTCTCACTCTGTAGACCAGGCTGGCCTTGAACTCAGAAATCCACCTGCCTCTGCCTCCCAAGTGCTGGGAGTTTTTTCTTTTTTTAAATTAACTTTATTTCACAAAGGCTTCTGAAGTTATGAAACACACTTTTTTCTTAACAAAAAAAAAATGATACCATACGTTGTTGCTTCCTGCATGTGAAAACTGAAAATCCCTTTAAAGAGACACACAGCTGTGTCACTCAAATACAAAATGTGCTGCCTTTTCACTGTACAGTCACATGTCAAAAGGTCTCGGAATCTAAACACATTCTCACATACACTAAGTGGAAGATGTATATAGTTGCATATAGTACAGTAGCTATTTGGGGGAAATTTTAAAATATACCTATCTGTGGGGAATTAGTTCAATATATTGTGGTATATCCATTCAAAGAAGTCCTGTGCACAAAGGGAAAAGAAAATGAGGAGTCATCAAATACACTCCTAAATGGGAGAAATGCAGGATGAAGCACATGTTACTCTTTCTGCAGGTGATCAAAGAATAAAGCTACATTTTGAGTGGTCCTCTCTGAGGCAAGAGAAGAGGGCCAACTGACACAGAAGGAAGACAGACCTGCTGGTCATTGTGTAAATTTTACAGCTTTGAATTTCTACCCTTTGAGTTCACTGAAAACCAAAATCTTTTCAAAACTCTTCAGTAACATTTAAATTCTCGTATGATTTCCAGCCCTGTGAATACCCAGCACTTTTTATTTTGGAATTATTACTGTGATGAACATCTTTTATATAAGGATTTTTAAAGAATTACTTTTTTTTGGTTTTTTTTGGTTTTTTGAGACAGGGTTTCTCTGTGTAGTCCTGGCTGTCCTGGAACTCACTCTGTAGACCAGGCTGGCCTTGAACTCAGAAATCCGCCTGCCTCTGCCTCCCAAGTGCTGGGATTCAAGGCATGTGCCACCACCACCCGGCTTTAAAAGAATTACTAGTAAAGGAATTGCAGGTCAAATAAATTAATGTTGCTAAGGTTCTCAAAGTACTGAGTCTGGTTGTTTTCCAGAAAGGTCTTGGAAGTCTGTACTCAGTGGTATGCCGGGAGCCTCTGCCTCAGCCCGTTCACAAACACTGGTACTATTCATCACCCCTGAGAACGTGAGGATTCTTCCCCATGTGGCTTCAGTCATCTGAGCTTTAATCATGACTTTCTAAGCGCTGGATGAAGTTTGGCACGTCTGTTTCTCACTCTCTGGTATATTGTGGATACTCTTTGCCCTTTGTGAAAAGGGAGGAAAAGACCTATTTTTCTAGTCAATTTGCCATCTGCCCTGCACACACCTTACCCCCATTTCATGGCCTAGAACTCCCTGGCACATTATGAATTCTCAATATTAGTTGATTCAACTGAATTGAGTTTCATTTCGTCAGAGCTTTCAGAGCCCGCTTATCATGCTTATGAAGCCTCAGCTCTCTGTGTCCTCTGTAAAGTTTTTCTGGTCAGAAGTTCTTCCCCTTGGGCCAGTCTAGGCTGTCTTCTAGTTCCAAGCATTAGATGACTTCAAAACCAAACCACCCCTCCTCCACCTGCCAGCCTCTGTTTGCCTATTGCTGCAGAATAGGTGACTTCGATTTCTAAAAAGTAAAGCCTGGAAGTGCATGTCTGTAATCCAGCTGAGGCAGGAGAATTGCTGAAAGTTCAAGACCAACCTGGATGACACATGAACACTTGGCCTCAGGAAGAAAACAATAAATAAAAAACCCAGTAACTCAAAACAATAAACACCGTTTTGCAGTTTCTCCGAGTAGGAATTTAAGAACCCTGTGGTTTGGAGTCTGTCTCAGTAAACTGCAGGCAACTAACTGTACTCTAGGCTGAAATGCAGCTGGAAATTTTACTTTTCTTATTGCTTCCATGATTATTGGCTAGTTAGCAGATGGCTACTTTCCTGAGATTCACTTAACCTCCTGCAGGTCTGTGTTCAAAGCTTTTTCTGGTGCTGAAACCTGCTTACCCTAGAGCCAGTGAGCAAAGAGGAACAGAAGAGAGAGACGGAAATCCACAGGGAAGCCACTGTGAGTTGTATAACTGAATCTCAAGCCTTATTTTGAGACATGCCATCAGCAAGTGCCAGGAGTTCCTATCAGGACATACCCTTATCCAGGAACCACTGAGTCCAAGTAGGGGCTCCCAGGCTGCAGATCTACTGGGTATATCTTCCCCTAGCCATCTACAGTCATCTCTGCATGTACTAACACCTCTAGCCAGTTTCCTTGGACCTGCTCAACAAAACAAGGCACTTGGGAATTTTTGATGAGGCATTATCCTAGTTGCCCTCCATGTTGCCCTCTTCTGGCCTCTATGGACATTGCTGGAACTGAACTCCAGTCTCTCCAAGTGTAGCATACTCGTATATGAACCATCTTTCTAGGCCCCTTGACTTTTCATTTAAAAATTTTGTATTGGGGGACATAGTGGCACACGCCTTTAATCCCAGCATTTGGGAGGCAAAGGCAAGATCTCTGTGAGTTCAAGGACAGCCTGGGCTATGTAGAGAGATCTTGTCTCAAACAAACATTTTTATTGCCATATTTTAACTTTTAAAGATTTCCTTTTGTGGGCTGGAGAGATGGCTCAGTGGTTAAGAGCAATGACTGCACTTCCAGAGGTCCTGAGTTCATATCCCAGCAACCACATGGTGGCTCACAACCATCTGTAATGAGATCTGATGCCCTCTTCTGGTGTCTGAAGACAGCTACAGTGTATTCATATAATAAATAAATAAATCTTAAAAAAAAAAAAGATTTCCTTTTGATGAGTGTTGCCTACGTGCATGCACTATGTGTATGCAGTACAAGGCCAGAAGAGTGCACCAGAGGCCAGGGACCTGGAGTTAAGGATGTGGGTGCTAGAAGCTAAGCCTGAGCCCTCTGCAAGAGCAGCAAGTGCTGCTAACTACTGTTAACTATTAAGCGATCTCTCCAGCCTTATCAGCATATATTAATATACATAATCATTGGCTCCATTATGACATTTTCACATACTGAAATAATGTATTTAATGTATTTTGATCACATTCACCTCAACTACCCTCTGTAGTCTCTTTCCTATTGATCTCCTTCCCAACCAGACCCCTTCTGGGTGTGTGTGTCTGTGTGTGTGTGCACACACACAAGTGAATTTCATTAGGGTTGCTTATAAAAATGTGCTAATTAGGTTTTGTCAACTTGACACAACTTGACATCAGGGAAGAGGGAACCTCAATTGAGAAAATTTCTTCTATCAGATTGCCTTGTGGACACATCGGTGGCACATTTTCTTGAGGGACATTTTCTTGATCATGATTGACTTGAGAGAGCCCGATCCCATTGTAGGTGGTACCATGCTTGGCAGGTGGTCCTGAGTTGTGTAATATGGCATCCCACACAGATCAGGTCCCAGAGCCCTGACTAGGGGCATGGAAGGAATGAAGAAAGGACCCACATACAGAAAAGATGGGGTCAGGTTGGCTGTGTGCTCTGATGGAAACTGCAGTTACAAGTTTTTGTACACAAAGTTCAATCACTTGCACTCGGACCCTAGATGAATAAGCCTGTTTGCCACTCCCACAGGGCCAAGGTCCTGGGTTCTTGACATGGCTACACCCATGTCAACAGTACACATCCACTTAGGATTTCACTCATTCAGGTCTTCCTGTGCTCCCTACAGCACACACAGTGTAGCTTAGCAAATCAAGGGAGTGAGACAGTGATTCCTCCATGGCCCCGATGCTGTTCAAGTGCCTATCCTGACTTCCACTGGTGATGGACTGTGGCTGTAAGCCAACTTGCTTTTGGTTATGGTGTTCACCACAGCACCAGGATGAAAATACAAGCGCCAACTATGAACCTCTAAATCATCAGGGAGAGGTGGAACCTTGTGAATCTGAATTCTCTCCACTATGGGATGATGGGCACAATCTTCGTAATAACCCCAGCTGCTTGAGTTCAAGGATGTCATGGGTGTCATGTCCAGGAGATAGCATTCCACAATGCTCCACCCTATTTCCATCAACATTTTAATGTTTTTATCCATGTGTATGCACGTGTGTGCAATGTGTGCCACAAAACGTGTGGCAGTCCAAAGACAACTTTGTCATTTCTCTTCTTCCACCCTTACATGGGTTCTAAGGAACCCACGCCACAGGCCTTTGCATGGCAAGCAAGTGTCCACCTACTGAGTCACCTTACTGGCCCCTAAACATCTTAGTGTGCATATGTAGTATGTGTGTGGAAGATTGTGCATCTTCCATGTGGAGGCCATCTTTGTGGAGTGGATTCTCTCCTTCACTTTTACAAGTCTGTAGGCTTGCACACCTAGCACCTTTACCTACTGAGCCATCTCACTGGCCCTGAATCAACCTCTTAAAGCTGTACACAATCCTATCCACACCAGACATCTGGACATCAAATACTATTCTTACATTCTCAGTGTAATACCTTCCTCTTTCCATTGTCAGTCACTGAAGGCTTTAACAAGAATCTGGCTGCATTCTGCCCTTGCCTTAAGAATGGGCCTTAGGCCTTAGTAGGGCACTAATTTAATTGTAGAAATTCAACACAGCATCACATTGAGTATGTGACATGGTTGTTACTGATTGCTTTTAAATCTACTATGACAAACATTAAGTAGAACAAAAAACCTGAAACTCAACGTGCAGTCTAGAACAGAAAAGATGTTAGAGGCTGTTACTGTTTAGATTAGTGCAATTAAAGTGTTATCTCCTCATCTGCCCTGGAAAGCCCTTCAAAGCAAGACTATGTCACTTTATAAATCCTAGGAAGTTCTTGCTTCCAGAATACAACTGCACACAAAAGCTTCTGTAAATGTGGTCCAAGGGTCCATCCCAAGCTAACAGCTAAACTTGGCAGTGTCATCAACACAATACTAGCTCGGGAGACAAGATGAGAGACTTCAGGGTTCTGATTGTTCCTCCATGGTTTCAGAGAGCTGCTGAGGCCAATGTATGGCAGGGTTTCAAGGAGACCTTCAATGAAGCTGAAGGTACACTGCAATGGACTCATAGATGTTGGGAGATAACAGGACAGAGACATCTTCCAAAAACTGCATACAGAAGAACCAGACCAAGGGAAGTGCTATGTTGGAAAGTAAGGCTGAAGGGCAGAGCAGATCCATCTAAGCCCTTTGAAACTGAAGCTTGGGATACCAAACAGAGTTGTTTTTTTGTTTTTTTTTTTTTTGAGACAGGGTTTCTCTGTGTAGCCCGGGCTGTCCTGGAACTCACTCTGTAGACCAGGCTGGCCTCCAACTCAGAAATCCGCCTGCCTCTGCCTCCCAAGTGCTGGGATTAAAGGCGTGCGCCACCACCGCCCGGCCCAAACAGAGCTATTTGGAGTCAGCCCTACTGGGTTTTGGTCTTCCTTCGATCCAATCTTTCCTGACTCTGCTCCTCCCATTTGAAATAGGATTGTACACAATGACATTGTATGGTTAAAGTATGTAACTCATTTTATGGGTCGATTAGGAGATTGCTTTGATATCCAAGTTATGTTCTTTGGTTGGTTCAGTCTGAGGAACTGCCTCAGTGGTTAGGAATACTGGCACCTCTTCCAGAGGTCCATTCTCAGCAACCACAAAATGGCTCACAACCATCTATAAGGGAATCTCATGCCCTCTTGTGGCATGCAGACGTACATGCAGACAGAGCACTCATACTAGTCTCTTATTTTCTCAAGGACTACCTTAACACAACATATTCCTTTCCCCTCAGCAGCTCATTAATTACTGAGTGCTTTAGTTGTATTCAAAGCCCTCCATAAGAAGGCCCAGTACATAAATAACCTCAGCATGGCAACTGCTACAAATGGAATTAGCCTGTACAGGGGGACCTTGCCTAAAATTTACCAAGCTGGAGGATCAAGAGTTCAAGGTCACCTGCCAGCTACAGCATCAACTACATACAAATTTTCAGCCAACCTGGGTTATGAAACCCAGTCTCAAAAACAAAAGCCCTTGAACAACTGTAAGGCCAATTTAATCTCCAATACCATATAACGACAGAAAAAAACTGTGGGTCATAACAGACTGTAGAGATGGTCTCATTTATCTCAGGTTGGCCTAAAATTTACTATGTGGTTAGTAACAGCCTTGAATGTCTGATCCTCTTTCTTCAATTCTCAAATACAATGAGGGATCATAGGTGTGCATCTCTCAAAAAGCTTATGTGAGTCTGAAGATCAGGCCTAGAGCTTCATGGACGCTAGGTACTCATCAACCAAGACAGATTTCAGAGCAGAGTTCTCTTTTTAATCAATCACAAAGTACTTTAGACCCTCAGAGCAGACAGCCTTGAATTATCTATCCACGCTGATCGCACCAGTAAGTAGAACAGGGTAAGAGGCAGACAGCACGAGAGCAGCCTGGGGCCGCCATGGCTGATGTCACAGTAAGCTCTGTCTTACAAAACTAACTTAGGGAACTCAACATGAAGTCATGCTTTAAATAAAAACCTGTGTTAAATTCCCAGTGGAAGGAGGGCACTGACTCATACAGGCTGTCCTCTGACTGCCACACAAGTCCCCATATACACCTGAGCCCACCCCACACAAACTAGCACACAACATGGAACTTTTATTCATGTGATTTCTGTACATCAGGAATACACAAGTAACCCTTTACAAATGGTGCTGATTTTACCAGAATAAATGACAAAACCAAAGCAGTGTCTGGTGACAGTGATAGGGCTTTATGGTTCAAATCCAGCCAAGAAGTTTGTTACAATCTCTTTCAGCTTTGCATCTGACTGTTCTGAGATTTTTCCATCAGCCCTGTTTGGAAATAAAAACAAAAGATTCAATGACTAGTGCAAATCAATGATCTGAGTGAAGATTCATGACAAGGCTAATTTACAGTAACTGTTAAACTTTCTAAACATGATAGGTAGGTAGTTCACACCTGTGATCCTAGCACTTGCAAGGCTGAGACAGGACTGCCAAATACTGAGAACACTCTAGGTGCTCTCAGTATAATGAGTGCAAAGACCAGGCAGGGCTAGTATGCAGCAAGACCAGATTCCAACCCAACCCCACCTCCAGGGAAAGAAAGACTATGTGAAAACAAAGGCCACCAACTCCATTTATACCTGATATTGCCCAAGAGAGTCTGGTGCTGGCTGATAACATGAGACAAGAATGCACTCTCAAACTTTGTGATCTTACTGGGCTCCAGTTTATCCAGATAACCCCGTACGCCCGCATAGATAACAGCCACCTGTTCTTCAATAGCCATGGGAGCTGAAAACAAATTATCAAATGAACGCTTAAATGCCATTTTACCAAAGTCACAGATTTTTCCTTCTAATACTAAACATGGTCCTATGAGCCACCCCTTTTGACATTCTAAACCTGTAATTCCACTTACCACTCTTTCCCATTCTCCCCTGCAAAAAACAGGAAGCATAACCTTTGAGTACAGCCTCTAAGCATTGCTTATAACCTGGTAGTGTTACACAGTATTTGTGGTATAATTCCCTACAAACATTTTTTAGCTAAGATTAAAAAAAATGCTAATATTCTTGTAAATCTGCTAAACTCCACAGTTATACAACATGAGGATGCATTAAATATATTTGGTTTTCTGGTTACTAACTTCAACACTACATCAAACAGTGGTATGGACTACATCAGTGGTACAACACAGACCCTGAATTACAGCAGGAACCTGTCCAATGAAACAACTCACAGTACTGTCCTTGCTTTAGCAGCTCTGTCAGACGCACACCACGACTCAAGAGCTGCTGAGTGGCAGCATCAAGATCAGAACCAAATTGGGCAAAAGCAGCAACCTCCCGGTACTGAGCCAACTCCAGCTTCATGGTACCTGCCACCTGAGCACACGAGTTAGTGTTACCATGACGTCACGTAGCAGTATAAAACACAGGTCATACACACTTAAGATTTTAAGCTAGTAACAAACTCCTGTGTCAAGGAGAAGAAAAATTACCTGCTTCATGGCTCTGGTTTGGGCAGCAGATCCGACACGGGACACAGATAAACCGACATTAATGGCAGGGCGGATGCCTTTATAGAACAATTCTGTTTCCAAGAAGATCTACAATCCAAGTATACGGGACATTAGTAAGCTTAATCTTTTCCTTAAAATTTAAGTCACTGTCCCAAAAACTGAAACCCAAATCTTGAGTAAGACGGCTAAGTGACTTCTCAGAAATACATGAATCCTAGCACTCAGAGGCAGGAGGATCACTGCAAACACAAAGCTAGTCTCAGCTACATGTAATTCCTGGCCAGTTTAGACTACACCAAGTCCTAATCTCAACAAACTACGAGGTAGTAATATGATTTCTCAAATATGCTTTAAAATTATCTAGGGCTAGAAAATAATAAGTATAGATGAACCAAAAGATGCCAGGTAGGGAGGACACATGCTTTTAATCCGAACACTTAGGAGTCTGAAAGGTCAGAGCCATTCTCAGCTACACAGATAGTAAGACTAGCCAATCACCCTGGACTGGAGTTACAGATGGTTTTGAGCAGTTCATGGTGCTGGCATTCAAACCCAGGTCCTTTACAAGAGCAGCAAGCACTCTTAGCCACTGAGGCATCTCTATAGACCCTACTCATTTTTTTTTTCTTTTTTGGTTTTTCGAGACAGGGTTTCTCTGTGTAGTCCTGGCTATCCTGGAACTCACTCTGTAGACCAGGCTCACTCTGTAGACTCTGTGAACTCAGAAATTCACCTGCCTCTGCCTCCCAAGTGCTGGGATTAAAGGCGTGCGCCACCACCGCCCGGCTAGACCCTACTCTCTTTAGTTCTAGGTTTATAGTATTCCATGAGAAAGCAAAGGCAAGGTACAAATAAGTTCATGCTTATTAGTCTCAACTAGTGCCTCAGAATAATCAATCATTTTACACTAATTCTAGTCAATCTAATACCTGTCCGTCAGTGATGGAAATAACATTTGTTGGAATGTAAGCAGACACATCACCAGCCTGTGTTTCAATGACTGGTAAGGCAGTCAAAGAGCCACCACCAAAGGAATCGTTCATCTTGGCTGCTCTCTCCAGCAGGCGAGAGTGTAGGTAGAACACATCACCAGGATAGGCCTCACGACCAGGGGGTCGGCGAAGCAACAGAGACATCTGGCGGTAAGCCACAGCCTGTGGTACAGAAATGTGGTAAAATTCAACTGTTAAACAAGCTGCATCTGTTAATTTCCACTAAGATGCAAAAAAACACTTTATAAAAGACATTCTTTGACCTGTTTAGATAAATCGTCATAGATGATCAAAGCGTGCTTGCCATTATCTCTAAAATACTCTCCCATGGAGCAGCCAGAGTAAGGAGCCAAATACTGAAGCGGGGCAGCATCAGAAGCAGTGGCTGACACCACAATGGTGTACTTCATGGCATCTGAGGAGAAAAAAGGTTTACGTTCACACAGCTATCAAAACGGATTTTCAATTAAAGGCTACCACACAAAATTGTCCGCCACCCTCATTATATTCATAATATAATGTTGAGTTGAGAAAGGGGGCCTCGGGGGCAGTGGAGCTTGCTACGTAAGCCTGGATCCCACAGAAGTGAAAGGAGTGCGACTGGTAGACACACCCTAAAAAGGTCAATGTCCTAGGTTTGATCCTAGCATCAAATAAATTAAGAATAATGGACTGTGCTTATAATCCTAGGGGTGGAGACAGAGGAGCCAAAGGTCCAGGACAGATGAGATACACCACACTCCTCCTCACACCCCGGGAAATACTCCAGCCAGGCATGGGCACACATACCAACCAGGGAGTAGAAGCAAGAGATTAAGGTCAGCCAGAGCTGCATGAGATCTCATCTTAAAAAAAAAAATCCTGGGGCCTTGGTCACATACAGGGTGCTCCAAGATTATCTATAGAGAGGCCACAGGACCAGTGCTCTCCTGTACCTGCATCCGTCAGTCTCTTCACCAGCTGAGCCACAGTGGACCGCTTCTGACCAATAGCGACATAGATGCAGTACAGCTTCTTCTTCTCATCAGTCCCATCGTTGAACCGTTTCTGGTTGATGATTGTGTCAATGGCAATTGATGTTTTCCTTTAAGAGAGGCAAAAATGTCACTAAGGACAGAATTTCCAGGCACAGTTGTGCTACCACTGTTAATTTTCACCTGAAACTGCCACATTACAACGAAAGCATTGACCCTCCCAAAATACCTGATTATTTACTAACAATCCATGTTAGTCACAACTTTTAATAGGTTTTGAGTCATTACCCAGTCTGTCTGTCACCAATAATCAGCTCTCGCTGACCACGGCCAATCGGTACCAGGCTATCCACAGCTTTGATGCCAGTCTGCATTGGTTCCCGCACAGAGATTCGGGGGATAATTCCAGGTGCTTTCAGGCCCACTCGTCTGCGGGTCTTGGAACCAATTGGACCCTATAAAAATATTAAGCATTAAAAATAAATAAAAGGACCCTCAAAGTGGTTAGCTGTGATGTCTGACTCATGAGCACCCAGTAAGCATTAACCCACCTTTCCATCAATAGCGTTTCCCAGGGCGTCAACTACACGGCCCAACAGTTCCTCACCAACTGGAACATCCACGATGGCCCCTGTTCTCTTCACAATATCTCCTTCTTTAATTAGCTTGTCATTCCCAAACACGACAACTCCAACATTGTCGGGTTCCAAGTTCAGGGACATACCCTGCACAAAAGGATAAACAATGAGGCCAGGGGGGCTCTTCTCCCACACCAGGAAAGAATGTATCACACAGCAGCAGGCAACACTGTGCCCCTTTGGTTCTCGAGTTAAGACTTCATGAACTAGCTAAGAGTGGGTGCCTGACCCGAGATGATGACAGGTAGGAAGCAGACCCTCCTGAAGGTTGTCCTGACCCCCACACTGCACACTGGAGTGCTTGGGGAGTTCCAACCTCCACAAGGCATCGGTAGAACTCCGCATAGCTACATACTGCCTCGCCTGCCAGTGATGGATTTGTTCTTTTTAAAAATTGTTTTATTTATTAACATTCCAAATGTTGCCCTCCCTATCCAGTCCCCCAAGAGTTCTTCACCCCACTCTCCTATCTGCCTCTGAGAGAGTGCTCCCCTACTCCCACCCACCCCACCCCTGCATCCCCCTTCCCCAGAGCATTAAGTCTCGACAGTATCTGGCAGATTATTCTTATTGGGAGAAGAATTTAGTTCATGTAACCAAACACTTTTGCAAAATCGTCTCCACAACTACAAAGGAACTGATATGAACTCATTGAAATTTATGAAAATGCTTACTAAACTTTCAATTTTGGTGCCACAGGCTACAACTTATCCATCAGCACGTATATGGGGAAGGGAGACAATGGGACTTGGGCTTAGCCAAACTATTATAGCTTATTCTCTTTACAACCTATAATAGGGGAGAAATGAGGCAAAGTGAGACTTAAATGTTCTTAATTCTTGACAAGCTCTGAATTACTAAATGAGAAACCAAAGCTACAGATCCTAAAATAACAAACCTCCCACTTTATAATTTACCTTTAAGCCTGAAGAAAATTCTACCATTTCTTCTGCTTGAACATTCCTTAGCCCATGTACTCGGGCAATACCATCACCAATGCTTAAGACACGCCCAGTCTCTTCAAGGTCAACAGAAGTGTCAGCTCCAAGAATCCGCTCCTCAAGAATGGAAGACATCTCAGCAGTACCTGAGGGAGGGCAACTCAATTTAAATAATCTGTTCCAAACCGCTTCTCAAAACCCATTCCCCAACAATTAGTTTCATGATAATAATCAAAATCATTCCAAAACAGAATAAACAGTTTTAGAAGTTGGGTATCTTGGGGCTGGAAGATGGTTCAGCGGTTAAAAAGGTCTGCAGCCCCTGCAGAGGCTCTGGCTCCGCCTCCCATCACCCACATGACACCTCAACTGTTTAACTCCAGTTCCGGGGTCCGAAACCCACTGTGGGCACCAGACAAGCAGGTGTATGCACACACCCAGGAAGAACACTCATACATAACACACCCAGGAAGAACACTCATACATAAGTAAAAATAAGTAAGTTTTTATAGCTGTACATTGATCACTGTCAAAATTATTAAGAAAAACTTCACTCGGCAAACAATAATGTTAACTTATTAAAATTAAATATTACCCTGCCCTAATGTTTTACCTTCTTTTCTCATTTAATTTCTAAAGAATCTCTGTACATATGTTAAAATCTGATTTTTTTGGCTAAACTTTAGAAACATTTTAAAGTTCATCTTTTAAAAGAAATAGGAGTAGCAAAAATAGCAAGCTCACCTGGGAAAGTGACACACCTAACAGTCTAACCTTCATCCCCAAATCCCCCGGTAGAACAGGCTCTCCCAATGGTCTCCTCTGATCTCGACAAATGCCTTGAGACATGCCCCCTCCCCTTAATAAATATAACATAACCAGCAGCTATCGAGATGGCTCTGAGTCATATGCAATCCTGGTAAACAGAGTTCCAGCCCCAAGACCCACAAGGTGGAGAGAACTGGCTCCTGAAGGCTGTCCTCTGACCGCCACATACATGCCACGGCTCAGACACATGTGCTTGTTCAATAATCAAATGCAAAAATAAACACAACAAAAGTTATAAAATGTCCCTTTTAAAGAACGTGCGTACCAGTGCTATTATGATATAAACACATCATGTATACATTTAATCGTTACTTTAAAATTCCCAGTACACTGTCAGGCACTCTGCTCAGTAGTATTTGCCTATAAAGCCCTGGGTTCCATCACCAGCACCTCTAAAAGAAAAAAGAGGAAAAGGCCTCCAGCACATCGCCAAAAAAAACTCCTTTATGTATGTCCTCACTTACCTACTGTACCTCCAGGTATAACAGACGCTACTATCTTTGAAAAAAACCTAACAGTAAAAAATTGTTCATCTTCTTATACTTTTTACATGAGGATTAAAAAAAAAAAACAAAACACAGTGGAGAGAGGGTGCCTAGTGCATTGTTTTCATTCAAAAGAAATCATTAGAAACCATACTGCATAACAGCAATACAAAGTATAGTTTCATTAGACAAAGAGGATCTATTAAGAGGAAGCATTTTAAATGATACACTATGGTTAAAACCAAAGGCAACAAATTAAGTTTCTTTAGCAACATTTTAAAAAAGAGAAACATTTATTTAAGGAGGGGAAAAATCTCCCCCCTTAAAAACTGACTTACCAGTCTTCTGAAGTCGAGTGTTAGAGGCATGGAGATTTCTTGCACCAACAAAGGATGACCCCAAAGCATTTTTGGAGACCTAGTACAAAAACATTCTTTAACCAATCCGATTCTTTAGAAAGCAGTCTTCTCACCTAAGCTATGCTCATGAATGCACATGTAAGCGCACATACACATGGCCTTCATAAGCTGGGTGTGGGGATGGTGGTGGTACATGCCTGTAATCCTAGCATTCAGGAGGCAAAGGCAGGAGATCACCTAGAATCTCAAGGCACGCTGGTTTATACAGCAAGTTCCAGGCCAGCCAGAACTGCACAGGAAGACCCTGTCTCAAAAATCAACAAAACAGGTGGTGAAACCTCCATAAATGGACAAGGTTAACTATGGACTTAAGCTGATCAGATTGTAAATTTTGCTAAAAAGTTGACTTAAATTACACAGGAAAGAATGATACCTGCATCTATTATTGCAACTGCTGGTACACAGACTATAAAAAGCTTATTTTAAAATACAATTGTTAAAATCTTTCCCTTAAAGACATCTAGGTAATACTACTTTGGTGTTATTTTTCAACTGAATTGTGGAAATCTCAATAAGATAACAACTATCTAATGGGGTGAACCTGAGTGTGGTTCCAATTTTTCTTTCTTAAAAAGGCAAGTAAGTATTAGGTGAGAAAATTAATGCTGTGGTTAGGCTAGAAAATGATAAATTTTTTTCACTGTCTTGAACAAATCTAGCAGCATAACGGAACCCAGGACTCCTGTTATTTTTCTTTCTACTTGCAATGCTGTGATTGACCACCTTGAACTCAGAATCGGCTAGTTTTTAATAGGAACCAAATCTTTTCTTTAAATCCCTTTTTCTTTTTTTTCCTAACAGAAAACTAAGATGTTACCAACCAGTGTTTTGTTAGAGAAGCAGGATAGTAGTATATTTGGCCTTTTAAATTCAGATTGCCTTTATAATAAAAGGGTGAATGTATTTATATAGGACTTAAGAGTCAGTCTCAACGCCATGGGAGATCGTTAGTGAGGAGCACTGATCTCATGGGGTGGACAACTCAAGGACAAAATCTTTTAAAGTGTCAACCACCAGGTTTTGTGCCTAACCTAGTCCATTTACAAAAACGCCATCGTTGTTGTCAGTGGAAACCACATAAAACGTTTCTGCACCTCGCAAGGTTTTCACGACCTTTCCCGTATTCAGCACCAGGCGGGTAAACCATCCAACAATTCAAGAGTCACTTTCTTTTATTCCTTTCCCTTGAATTGACCTCCGAGCAGAGGTGAAATGCTCGGGCCTTGTTGACCTTCATACAATGTCAGGCTCTCCTCCTTCTCCTGCACAAGGCTGCTGACAGCTCCTTTGACCTTCAGCGGAGCCAGACCCCAGGAACAAGCCTCTGGGCAGGCCAGACAAACAGCGCACAAACCCCGACTTTCACCTCTAGGCCCGCCCTCACCCCAAGACCGGAACCCTCCTAAAGTCCCTATAGCCCCTTTGCCCGCAATGCCGAGGTCACGGATACCCGCCCCACCGCGCACCAAAGGCCTGCAAAAGATCCCCTCCGCCGTCTGCGCTGCCTGGCAGCCACGGTGCAAGATGGCGCCGACCGCCCCAGCCCCGCACTGCACAGCTCTGCTCCGCAGAGACCTCGAGCCGCTCCCACACCAGCCTGCCTAGGCCCCGGCGCTCACCAGTCCCGCCCGTCGAGGGAGGGAACGGGCCACGGCCGCAGCGATGCGCACAGACAGCATACTTGCAACTTCTTGGAGAGATCTTCTGCAGCCGCAGCCTCCCGACGACTGGCACAAAATGGCCGAGCGCGAAGGAAGGTCAAGGCGGCCAGCCCACCTGACCCGGAAGTACCGCCTCTCTCCCACTCCTCCGGACGCAAATCTTTTTTTTTTTTAATATATTTTTTTTTTTTTTTAAGTTCAGAACTCAAAATGAAAGAATCAATTATTTTCAGCCTCCTTCCTGGCACTCATCATTTTAACTTTTGGTCTTTTTGAATCGACCTTGTGGTTGCCCGGGAGACCACGTGAGTAGCGGAACCAGAGGAGACTAGTCCTTGAACGACACCCGGAGCGGACTGCGTGTACTAAGAGCTAGGTTAATAGTGCCGGTGGGGTTACACTGCGGTGCTGAGGCAGCCCGGTCGAGTAACTCTTGCACAGTGCACCCACCCAGAGAGTTTTAGCTCTCAGGTCCTGGGAACTATCTGAAATGACTGAAAATGTTTATTATTACTAGTGCGTGTGGTGTGTATGTGCATGTGCTAAGGCATGCTTGTGGAACCCAGAGGACAGTCCTCTCCTTCCACCGTCTGTGGATCCTGAGAAACAGACTCAGGTCGAGCTTGGAGTGCAAGCACTTTACCCACTGGCCTACTTGCTGGCCCCCTACTTGGGTTTTTAATAAATATCCAAATCTTTTTAAATTAAAAGGTTGTATTGTATTATGTATTTGGGTGTTTTGTTTGCATGTATGCCTGCACCAGGTTTGCCTGGTGACCTCAGAAAGGCTGAAGATCCTTTGGAACTGGAGTTACAGATGGTTGTTAGCTACCATGTGGGTGTTGGGAATCAAACCTGGGTCCTCTAGTAGAGAAGCTAATGTCCATAACCTTTGATCCATCTTTGAGCCCAAATACCTAAATCTTATAAGGGATTTGATAGCACAAATGAAAGAATCGAAGTTCTTTAAGGTTCAGTCTGAAATAATCTCTTGAGGGAAGCTGAGCCTGATGAGTCAGGCCTGTAATCCCAGCTACCCTGATCAGGAAGCTAAAGGATGAAGATTAACAAATGCAAGGCCAGCTGGTAAGAACAAGATCTTGGGCCTCAGTGGTTAAGAGCACTGACTGCTCTTCCAAAGGTCCTGAGTTCAATTCCCAGCAACCACATGATAGCTCACAACCATCTGTAATGAGATCTGATGCCCTCTTCCGGTGTGTCTGAAGACAGCTACAATGTACTCATATAAATAAATAAATCTTAAAAAAAAAAAAAAAAAACAAGCTCTTGTCAATCAACTAACCAATCAATAAAGGGGAAACAAATCTCAGTAGTAGAGTATCTGCTTAGGGTGCAGACTGGTCTTTGGTTCAGTCTCCAGTTGAGGAGGGTAATGGGAAAAATCCTGTGTAAATTAAATAGGTTCAAAAATTCTAACCATCACAAGGAGTGATGAAGCTCAAGCCATCTCTGCCAACAGCCTCTTTTGTGAGCCTGAGGGTTCTCTTTCTCTCTCTCTTTCTGAAATACACACACACACACACACACTCATCAAATGAAATACAATAAGAAAATCACCATTGGTTGACCAAGCCCGCTCAGTCAGTCAACAGATTCTCTAGTGCAGGAGTGAGGATTAAAAGAAAAGAGACGGTTAGACAAAATTGCAGCATGACCCCAGCCAGTTCTGAGGCTGAAGGCAGGTTCATTTAGTTCAACTTTTCTTTTAAACCCTTTTAATTACATGCAAGTATTTAGGTCAGTTCTAGGTTTGAGGAACCAATATTACAATAGAAACAGTCAAGGAACAAACAAGGCAATATACAGAGTCCCGTGATCACTCTCATGATCGCTGGTTCTAAGGGCTCATCAGGATGACAAAGTATCTGAGCCTACTTCCCTGTCCTAGCCCACAGTCATATTTATGCCTGAGGCTTACCTCTTTGTTTTAGCCTAAGACTAGGATTCCTGACTGAATTTACTTCTCTGTTTTAGCCTAAAAATAGACTCCTGCCTGAACTCACTTCCTTGTCATGGCCCAAAGTCAGATTCTTGTCTAAAGCCCATTTCCTTGTCCTTGGCCAATGTCAGATTCCTGCCAAGCAGCCCCAATGGCTTCCCACATCTCCCCCCTTTATATTATTCAACAAGACTGAGCCTGTCTTAGGTCATTCTGACAGCAACACCCCCCTTAGCCGTCATCGAATATGCATTATCAAAAGCAATGCACTTCTGTCTTAGCTTGGTAAGGCACTTCAGAAGGTTGCCTGTCATTGGCTTGCCAGCCTGTTAAATTTGGGGTCCATTCTTAGTTTCAAGCCATGCACTTTGGCTGCCAGCATGTTGATGTGGTTAAAGACAAGCTTTAACATGGCGAGCAGGAATAAAAGTATTCCCAGGACAAAAAGGGCTAGCATGATCAAGCTATATATGCCATTCTTGAAGCTTGACCAAGATGAAAACACTGACATCAGGCCATGAATAATTTTATCAGCAGTATCTGCTGGATCAAAGCTCAGTGGAGCAGCGTTCTTTAAATTCACAATCTCAGTGTGCAAGCCTAAAACATCCAAAGAGGTGTTAGAATTATGCCAAATACCCTGCAAGTGTCTCTGAACCTTTTCCCAATCATAGTGGCTGTCATTGTAAATTTTAGCAGTAACACAAATCCATTGGTATTTGGCATGCCACTCGAGATGGCTCCTTACATTTAAACTCTGAACCTTCTGTCCAATAATATGAATAGTATCATAAAGAGCATCAATCCGTTGTTCCAAAGTCTTGTTCCAAGTCTATCTAAATTCTCTTGAATACTCAGAATATTAGTAACATTTTTTGCTAGATTATTAACAAACGTAGCTGTCTTAACTTCCTGTGTCAAAGCAATTGTGGAAGCAGTGGTACTAGCTATCAATGTAATCAAAGCTGCTATACCAACAATAATCAAGCCCACTACTCTCTTGCTTCTGCTTAAAGCATGACACACTTCTTCCAATACTTGTAAACCTTTTTCAGAATACCAAGGTTCTGAAATACTAACTGGCAATAAAACAAAGGCTGGTTGATAGACCACCATAGCAGACATGCCAGATTTCAACACACTAGCACAATTAGAAAAGTATACAATCAATACAACTTACATTGAATACAGTAGAAGAGATAAAAGTAATTTTAACATGACCAATTAATAAAGGATTAGGAGCTTTAACACATGCACTAACACTTGTTGTCAGTCCAGATCCTGTCCCGATGTTATCTATAGCCAGTGTGACTTCATAGAGAGCTGCTGCTAACTTCCAGACATGTCTCTGAAAATGTCCAGAACCAGCCTTCTAAATGAAGACTGTCATTTCTAATATTGGATTGATTTCTAAGCCAGTCCATGAATGAGTCAGAATAACTGTTCACATTAAAGAAGAAGAGTCATTATAACTTCTCTTTTTGATTCTCTGTCCCACAAGGTCTAAAAGCTTGAAGGAAGGCAGTTTGTCCAATCTGGGATATAGGCAAGCAAAGCTGGGTCAGGAACATATGTCCAATACAGCTTCCCAGTCACCATTGTTAGGGCAATCAGCAAGCACACAGGTCAGCATCATTCTTGGTCCCAGCATCAGCATGTCTCACCAATCATTCTGGCAGCTAGCATCCTCCTTCAGCATCCTGCAGAAGAAACACAAACATTCCCTCTTCCCCATATTAAATACCTGATCTGGATCATGGCATATGCCTATAAGTGGATCCTTCCATTTCACCTAGGCATAAGTATGCCAAGTTGTAGGATGCTATAGACACTCAGTTCCTTGGCATCCAAATTTTGAAATTTTAAAATAAAAGAACATGATTTAAATAAATTAGTGGTGTATGGGGATATAACTCCCCCTTTTTTATTTTATGAAGATATTGTTTTAAAGTTCTACAATACCTGTTTCTTAATACTTTGTCCTTGATTAAAAGGAATCCTAGTAATATGGGTAATATTAAATTGTTGACAAAACAAACGTTTGACTGTAATAGCCAGTTCTATTTCTTGTTTTATCTGATTTGGAACAGCCAGCATAGAAAAACAATGTAGGCAATGACTAATTACATTTTTAGTTGTTTTTCCTGTTAAAGCAGTTGTAACTAAAAAGCCTGAAAAGGTGTCAAGAGTCACATGTACATATTTTAATTTTCTAAAATCAAAAATGAGTAATGTCCATTTGCCATAATTGATTACACATAAGTCCTCAAGGCTTAACACCATTATGAAAAATTTGAGGACACTGAAAACAAGTTTTTGCAATTTAACTTGCACACTTTTTAGAAATGTCAAATTATTGTCTCAAGCTATTGCTATTTTGACGATATAAAGAATAAGATTGTATGGCCAATTGTCTCTGTAAGGTCTATAATTTGATTGGTATACAAATCTGCTCTGGCATTGCCCCGGGGGTCCAGGCAATCCAACATGAGCCTTTGAATGTCTTATAAAGTTAAAGAACAGTACAAGTTTCTTAAATTAAGCTGTATTTGTAAAATTTGAGAATTAGCAATATCTAAAAAAGGAACAATTTTAAGCAATTATAAACCATGAACCATATACTGGCTATGAGTATATAAATTGAAAGCTTGATTTTTTTCAGTATTTCAAACAGTGGCTACAGCACGTAATTCAATTATTTGTGCTGAAGCAGGGGGAAATTCAAGAGAGTGAACATGTGATATAACTACATATACTGTCTTCTCGATAGATGAGGTATCTGTAAATACAGTAAACATTTTCTATGGGCTGCATGTAAATTTATAAGGAATACAAAAGCATGCATAGAGGAACTGTAACAACTCATCTTACGGATAATTATTATCAGATTTGCCTAAAAACTTTGTCATGTAATAAGCCAAATATCATTATTTTCCAATAACCAACTTAATTTCTATTTGGAATAAGGAATTAACATTTTATCCAAAATACTTTCAGGATTCTCTTATAATCCTGTGTTAACACTGTAATAGTTTTATAATAGGATGTTCAAACTTTACTTGTAGATGAATCTACATTAATGGTTTCTCTTGTCAAAGGGCTGCTGTGAGCACATGAGTAGCAATAATGCAAACAGCCAACAAATGATCACAGTCTATATAATGTATCTGTTGATAACTAACAGCTTACTCTACTTTCAGCAAAGCTGTTTCTCCTTCATCAGTTAATTGTCAAGGGGAATTAGGACTTGCATCTCCCTTGAGAATATCAAACAGAGGTATAAGTTCTATGGTAAGATGAGGTTTTAGCTAGTTAATATCTCCTAACAACTTTTG